CTTTCTGCAATGTGATGGGAATTTACAAAATCCAAAAGCTACAACACAATGTAAAGTTAATATGTCTTTTATATCCAGGAAAATTAATTCCTTCCACACAATAACATAAATTATAACTCAAGCATAAAAAAATTTTCAATTTCCGGATTACAAATTGTATTATAACAACAGCTCATACTCTCATCTCAAACCTGAAACATCTCAAATTATTGCACAATATATTTACTTGGAATGTAAGGTCCAAGCAAGTAATAGTGAATTTCAAAGGTTTCAACGTGAAGTATCATACCTATATTGTATGTTCTGTATCTCTAGCACTAAAATGACTTCGAATGGACAAGAATGCACCTAAATGTTCCGATATTATTAAGTGATGGGAAAAATAAAGCTTCACAGCATATTTTGTCTACTAAAGCTCCTACTCAAGGATTCTAACCATGAGTACCAAAATAAAGGTAAAAAGAGCAAACTAGGAACAATAAACAGGAAATCCATTATTCTATGTTGTGAAGACTGTTCGCCTTAGACCAAAAGGATTTTGAAAACATTTTTTAACTTTTAGTAAAGAAACATAAATTATCAAATCCACAAATTGACAAGCATAAGACATACATTTCCAAGCAACAGATTAGAAAATAGACATCAAACAGTATAATATAACCAAGACAACCGAGAATTTTATTTAGGTAAAACCGAGGCAAATTCATTCACAACCAAACCGGAAACGAAATGTTAGATTTTCAGCAACCCAACCGCCATTTGTACATTTGCATACCAACCAACTAGAGAAGAGTTTCATTGCCAAGCCAAAAGAAAATGATATTCATAAAAATAGATACCAAGATTACAATCATACGATATCAAATTAGATGTTCGGGCATTCCCTAGCAAAGTGTCCAGACTCCCCACAATTGTAACAGCTGTTTCCACCACCGCCACCACCAAACCTCCCACCATACCCACCCCCTCCACCATATCCACGACGTCCCCCTCCACCATATCCACTCCCACCTTGGCGCCCTCCACTGCCTCCACCCGCACAGTCCCTAGCCAAGTGCCCCTTCTCCCCACACTGGAAACAGGCACCACTATTACCACCACCCACTCGTCCTCCAGAGGGGCAGTCCCGCGCCATATGCCCAAAACCACCACAGGTGTAACATCCTCCTCCACTACCACCACCACCACCACCACCACCATTGTTCCTGTCGCAGTCCCTAGCCATATGACCATACTCACCACAGTTAAAACACTCTCCGCTTCCGCCACCGCCTCCTCCGCCACCACTTCGATAGCCATATCCATTGCCGTCATTCCTCCTGTCACTGAAACCATATCCACCACGGCTGTTGTAGCTACTGCCTCTACGTGAAGAGTAGTCGCCGGGCCCACCATCTGCGATTGTGACATCGGTTGCCTTTGTCTTGTCGCCTTCTAGTATAATAGTGAACTCAACGATCTGGCCCTCGCGAAGGGTCCGAAACCCATCGGATTTGATGGCAGTCTGATGCACAAACAGATCCTCGCCGCCTTCATCAGGCGTAATGAAGCCGTAACCCTTTTGATCATTGAACCTGCTCACCACTCCTTTCGATCTAGCAACCTTGTCCTCCGCCATCGAATCGATTTGCAAATTTTCCCAACAGTAAGTATCAAAACCTAGAAGTTTGGGAGTGTGTATATATATAGAGAGAGGGGAGAAGCAGTAGGTTAAGCAAAGAAACCCTAAAGAACAACGAGGCTTTTTGGGCTTTTGGGTTGCTTATCATCACCGAACTTGTTCAAATCTTATGACCGAAGTTTCAAATAAATTTTGGTCGCGTAGTTACACTTCCATCCCGAGATAGATTTGACTTTCCTTAAAATATCCTCTCTTTTTCTTCGTTTACTTAGTTTTAAGTGTAATGTTATCTGTTGATGCTTTGTTAATTGGGATTTTGGAAATAATCCATAATAATGACGAATTACATTAATTAATGGAACTAGAAAATAAATTGAGAACACAAATATGCAATTAAGGAAGGTCAAGGGTTGGATGACAAACTTAAATTTTTACTTGGGAAACCTCAATTTGATTACCAAACTTAATTTATTTCATTTACGTCATTAATTTCAATTTGATTACCAAACTTAGTTTATTTCATTTAGGTCATTAATTTCAATTTGATTTCAAAGGAGTCACTGAATATCAATTTTCGTTTCAAAATTCACCATTATGTCATCTTGAGTCTCCTAAATTGGTAAAATTTATTAACGACCTGGTTGATTCCCATTTTTCTAAGAATATGAATAAAAAAAATAGTCGTTATGGAACACATACAAAAAATAGAAAGTCAAATATAGTAACTTGATGGGATAAGTAATGGTCATTTTTTTGTTTTTGTGATCAAAGAATGAAAATCAAACGAGAGCTAAGTAACGATCATATCACAGCACATATTTCACAAGTCTTCTTATGAAAATGCTAACTTATCACTACATAGCATCGTGAAATTATTAAAATAAAAGAAAAACATACAAATATTTTTAAACTCTTAATATAAAGATATTATCATAACTCTCATTTTACCATTTGTCTTAGTAGTTACATTATGGTTTATAGACAAGGAACTTTTGTCCATTTGGAGGACGATAGGTGATCAAATGTGAAATGGTGGTTAAAATTTGAAATTAAATTGAAGTTTAATGGCCCAATTGAGACAATTTAAAATTAATGACTTATTTGAAATTTTGCTAATAATTCAATGACATTAGATGGAAAATTACCCTTTAATTTAACTCCTATTAATATATTTTTTTTCCTACTTGAACTACGGACTTAGGGCTTTTTAGTTTTGTTTTGTGTGGAGTGCATGGTTAAACAAAAGGATAATTGAAGCAACGGTCCCCAACCTTTCTCTTTTTTATAGACTATATATTAACATTCACTTTATGTCATCCACAACCCAAATCTTTCATTTTGTTACAATGCAATGACAAATGGATGGATTTGACCATTAATTGATGCACGCCCAAACCCCAACATCAGTGGCCGTTGCTATTGCCATATAGCCAACACCACCACCGACCACTATACTCTTCAACTAAAGTATTGATCGACACAATCCCTAACAAAACCCTGCCAATTCTCTATCTTACTAGGTTTTTGTATGTTTATGTAA